CAAAGGTGGTGTCTGATTGGTTTGAGCTTGGCTCCAAGGGTCAAAAGTGTCAGGATGTCCCAAGTTCAAATCCAATGAGGAACAAAAATCCCCCTGTGGCCACGGAGGTTCAAATGCGGTGACTCCGGGCTACCTGCAAAACAGGTGGTTGCCCTGTGATTAGTCGGCTCGCAATGCGGGTTGGATATCCAGGTTAATAAAAAAAACTTGATTATCATATTTTTTTAACGATAAATTATTGAAAATTGGTTTAGAAAAAATAAGAATAAAAATAAAATTGATTTTATTTTGATGAAAATTTGTCCATTGGTTTGTAGTACCGTACTAACTATCTAAACTTGGTTGTATGTGGTATTAGAAGTTGCATACCACCATACTGACTTATTTTTTTAAAATTATTTATTAATTAAAACTTAAGCAATAATGAAACATACTTGTGATTTTTAAAATTTTAATTTTCTTATTTTCAGTGCTGCTAAATTATAATTTGAATGGATATACAAAACTTGATTGAATTCATTTGCATAACCCTGACAATCTTAGTAATTTGCCCACACCTCCACATTCTATTGTCGCTCCTCAATGGCAGTTTGTATTAGATTAATAGTGAATGTTTGTATTATATGAAAGTTATTTGAACGCTTGTATAGCCTTCTTAATAACGGGTCTTACTTTATAAAATGACTTTTTGAATAAGCTATTTGAGGTTTATCTGATTTGTTCGGGGCAGTAGTGCAAGAGGGAGCTGTTGCCCTAGTCGAAAGTTGATGCACTTAGCAAGGAGTTCTTTCCAAAAAAGCATTTAACCATTCTCCGATCTATGTCATATTAATTGATTCACTTCTGATTTAAGTTCTACTGTTTGGAGGAATTTTCCCTTCATATTAGTATTATTCTGGGCAACTCTCACTAGGTGGTAGGTGCTAGTAACATTTTTTAAGGAAGAGAATCCACGATGAACGCTTTTTTTCATTCGCTATGCACCGATTGTATGCATACTTGCATGAGTGAATTACTTACCGCAATCAAAGCCAATACGAAAAAAAAAGTGAGCTCGAGAGAGTCTCTTTCTGATGAGTGCATCTCGCACTTCCAACATATCAACATGTTATTTGAATGTTTGATGTTTTTAGTGCATCTAAATCTAGTTGATAAAGATGTCAATGTAGATAAATTTGTAACTTTAACTATTACGATATTGGTACAAAACCATACCAACATGTAACAACATAGAAAAATTGGTATCAAATATAGTTGGTTAGTACATAATAAAATAAAATAAAAATGAGAGAAAATAAATAAAACTCTAAATTCCAAAGAAAAAAAAAATATAACATACTTATCGGATATGTTCTATTTTTTTTTAAATAAACCGTTCTTAATAAATTTAAAGTTAATAATATATTAATTATTTTTATTTATATAAAAATGACGTTGACGAGAGCACGATATTTAAATAACGGTCAAAGAATTATCTATCTAAGAAAATAAACGGCAGCAAAATCAGGAAGTTGCATGTGCTTGGTAACATGGTAGGCCCTTTTATTTTTGACAATTACTCATATAACCCCACACAATTTCATAAACTAACATTTTCCTAATCATTCAATTTCCCCCAAAATCAATTCATTATTTAATCAACACACGTAACCTCGATATCCGCATCTCGTTTTATTTTATTTTATTTCGACACAAAACGGTGTTTTTATATACTGACATGTGCACAAAACGACAAATTTCTATTAAGTAAAATATTCATATACCAACAAATTTTTCGCGTTCTGATAACTACCCACGTGTGCGAACTGAGTATTTCTTATGATTGTTACCTAAACATGGCTCTTTCGTTATTTAAAAACCATACATCATTACCGACTACACTGTAAATTGTAGTTTAAGAACCGACAAATTAGAAAAAGATCGTTTTCTCCTAACTTTTCCATTTGTGTACCAACGACCTTTTTTTTAAGATTTGTAAACATATGTTTTGATTAACTAAAACGACAAGTTAAATATCTTTTATAACAATTAACTACTGATAATTTATGACGTACAATATCTTGTTCAAGAAAATGAAAAGCTTCATAAGCTAATTATGGTGAAATTTGTGTCGATATATATATATATATATATATATATATTATCTGTTTCATTCACGGACGAGTATTCAGAGTTATGTCGTGTCTCCAAGTGTGAAATTTTTCATGTTAAAAGTTATAGGGGTTGGGTTGGGAAGGAGATTGGGAGAGAATCCAGGGGTAAACAGATCTCAATGTCATAGGTAATTAGTAAATGTGCCAAAGTTAAATTACTTTTTTGCCCTCTATAATCAAGCTTTAATGGTGGTTTGTTTAATTAGTTTTAATGATTTATTTATACGGTGTAAAATTGTATTTAATTTTTAAATAATCATTTAAAATGATTGAATTAAATAAATAATTATTGTATTGGAATTAGAATTAACAAATAATCAATAGTCATTGACACTATAATAATAACATTCACTTCCATAAACTTAGAATTAGAATTAGTAGGTTGGATTAAGATTTTCAACCCATTTAAATAAATTGGTTTAACCATTCTAACTCATTTAAACAAATGAGTTGGGTTAGGTTGAATTTTTCGACTCGTTTTCAACATGTTTCCAACTCGTTTAAAATATTATATTATTTTATTCTTAATATTATATCTAGTATTCTAATTTTTAAATTTATTTTATTTTTAATTAAAAATCTTATCGTTATGAGATGAAAATCCAAATTTCAATCGCCTCCATTACTCATAATCATTATGAAACCTTAAAAAAAAACTCTTTAGTCCATTACTCCATTATCGCCTCCAAAATCCAATCCAACTTTCAAGTCTGTTGTCCGCCTCTCGTCCTCTCGATCTCAGCTCTCTCTCTCTCTGCAATGTTTTTCTTCCTTTCGAGAGTGAACTTGGGGTTGGTGAAAATGAAAGTCGAGTTATTTAGAATTTAAAAAAAAATTCAATTTATTTTGAACAATATATTTTTTATAATTGTGTTTTATTCAAACTTTGAACAATTTATTTGTATTTATGGTTGTGTTGTGTATTATTCAAAAAAAAAAAAATCAAATAGTCTAGTCTTTTTTTTATTTAAAATTTTAAAATTTAATGAGTCAACCTAGTTTCAACCAATTTATTTAACATGTTAGATTAAAAAATAATCGTAAACATGTCAATCCATTGTTAACCCATTTAAGTAACAAATTGGATTGAATTAAAAAAGTTTAACTCATTTAATTAAATAGATTATATTAAGTTAAGATTTCCAACTTAATTAGTAAATGAGTTGAATCTGAACCTAACCCAACCTCACCGTTACCACCTTAAAATTACTTTGCTTGCTCTCTCAATAATTAATTTACCACACCCCGCCCCTAGATTTTCTTTGACTTTTCCGACCCTTTAGCCCTTCAATCTCCCAAGGTTTGTTAACCCGACAAAAACGGATCCAATGATCCATATACAAATAGAAGCTTTCTTAACCTCACATGCATAAATTTATTTAAGTTTGTTAACCTCATATACATAAATTTATTAAAATTTCAGATTACGATGATATAAATAAATAAATGTAGTTAAATGTAAATGAAAATTTTATTCTTATATTCTTATTATAACTTTCATTTTTATCGAAACTCAACTAAAACAGGACCCATTTTTTCTAAAACAGTGGCACAATTTAACTATAAAAAATCATCTACTTTTCTTTTCCACAAAATTAATATAAACCTGTTGGTTGATTCCTTCTTCTCTCCATATTTTTCTAAAACACAAGAGGTATATTAAAAAACATCAAAATTTAACCTTAAAATTAACAAATTTAACACCAATGAAACTCGAACCTGGCTTTTTTATACAAAGGTAGAAGCATTAACCATCTCCGCCATCAAAGCCTTGTACTTAAATTTCAATTTCAAAAACTAGATGGTAGCACCCAACAAAACAATACAGTGACACCCTTCAGAAATGTACTTTTCCCCTTACGGCGGATCATGAAGCAGTGGCCCGAGAGGCAGTGCTATCATATAAATCAATGCAGGCTCACACCTAAACCCAACACATATATGTAATATGTGAGAAGATTCAAACGAGAATAGCTTTATTTACGAACATGCGACAACGTTTTTTTAACTATAAACAATTAAATGTGATACTTGAGTCCATCATATGTGATACGAAATCAGAGAGACTTGGGATCATGTGAGACCAATGTTTTTTTCGTGAGACCTGTAAGACCAATTCTCAATCCTTCGATTAAATCTACAATCTGGGAATCTGAACATTCATAAACGTCACGAGACTTATCAATATTCACAAAATTGTCACCGTACAACTTTAAACTTATAAAGTTAATCAATGAACATAAATTGGTCTTACGGATTTCACGAAAAATTCTTGGTCTCACATGAATCCAACCCTTGAATCAGATTTTCTTAAAATGTAAATATTCTCAAAGTTCATGTGCCTGCCGTCCCAAATAAAGGTGGACAAGTTTCCACGTTTTTCTCACGGCGCGATTTCAGCATAAATTATTTAATTTGACATTATGCTTTCTAATAATTTTTTAAATTAAAAAAAAAGTGTATTTAATATATCAAGTCAGCATTGAATTGTATTAATAAACAAATAAATGAGAAAAATAAAAACTCAAAAAAAGAAAAAGAAAAAAGAAAAAGAAAGAAACAGTTGAGGAATTGCATGTGCAAGTGGGACCATCAATTTGGTAGTTCAACTTGGATTACAAAGTCACAAAATATTAAATACACACACCCATCAAAATCAACATATTTTATACCATACAACTTGTTTATAACAAATTTAATTGATTTATCGTAAACAATGAATATATTATTATAGATATGGTTGCTTAAACATATGCTAAAATTGTCACTTTCTGGTCCCAAGCCTTTCCTCTGCTTCCAACTTCCCCTATATAAGTTAGTTATCCCCATTCCCTCCATATTATACCAACCTCTTTCCTCGACTTTCTCTTAATGGCCTTCCCCACTTTCACCGTTCTTTCTCTGCTTCTATCCTCCTTCAATCTCGTATATGGAGGTTGGGAGAACGCCCATGCCACTTTTTATGGCGGCGGAGATGCCTCTGGAACAATGGGTACGTTAAAAAACGTTTGTTGTTAGTGAAAAGTAGATATGTTTAGCTGGTGATTTATGTATGTCGTTTGTTTTCTTGCAGGTGGTGCTTGTGGGTATGGAAATTTGTATAGTCAGGGATACGGTACCAACACTGCCGCATTGAGTACCGCTCTTTTTAACAATGGGTTGAGTTGTGGGTCGTGCTACGAAATGAGATGCAATGACGACCCTCGGTGGTGCCTTCCTGGTTCCATAATTGTGACGGCGACCAATTTCTGCCCACCTAACCCCGGTTTGTCTAACGACAATGGCGGGTGGTGTAACCCTCCCCTCCAACACTTTGATTTGGCCGAGCCTGCTTTCTTGCAGATTGCTCAGTATAGAGCTGGAATTGTACCTGTCTCCTTCCAAAGGTACCAATGCATTAATTGTCTTATTTTGATTATACCCTTTAATTTTATGAATACAACCGCTCTACTGTTTGGAGGTAGATGACAAGTCTACATACATCCTACTCATTTAAACCATACTTTCAATCAAAATATACTGATGTTTTACCTTTTGTGGTTATAGGGTGCCTTGTGTGAAGAAAGGAGGAGTGAGATTTACAATAAATGGTCATTCTTACTTCAATTTGGTTTTGGTCACCAACGTCGGAGGTGCAGGGGATGTTCATTCAGTTTCAATCAAAGGGTCAAAAACAGGATGGCAAGCGATGTCAAGGAACTGGGGGCAAAACTGGCAAAGCAACTCCTACCTTAACGGTCAACCGCTCTCTTTTCAAGTTACAACCAGTGATGGACGAACCATCACAAGCTTCAACGTGGCGCCATCTAACTGGCAATTTGGTCAGACTTTTCAAGGGAGTCAATTTTAATTTTACTTTTTTAAAGAGAAAAAATTAGAATTGGAATTTAAAAATTAAGAATTACGATAAAAATCTAAAGGATTTGTATATGGTTTTTATTTTGGGTGAGGTTTGGGGTGGGGTGAGAGCACTGTGGCTCTATTGCTGAGGTGGCTAGTTAGCACCCGCTTAGAACTGTATCTGAAAATAGTGTTATTACCGTTTAGTCCTTGTGAAAAGGAAACATGCCTTATTTGTATTCAAAGGCATCATATGTACTCATTAAAGTTTGTAATTTCATCTTTAAAGTTATTAAAGTGCAAAACTGGAAATTCCTTTGCTACTTGCTCTTCTCTTCAATTACTATCAACTATACCACTAATTATACACACACACACACACAAATATATATATATATATATACATATTTTATTCCAATGTTTCAGAGACACTTATATCTTATTGTCCTCTTATCTGGTAAAAGGTAAATCAACCTCTTATTTGCCTCTTATTGTTCTCGAGACCTTTAACAACGACGTTTCTCAAGCGATTAACCTTAATCGATCATTTCTCTCAATTGATTATTACCAAATTGATTCTCACATCTTTCAGTATTTTAATAGGATTTAAATGTGTTAAATACCGTTAATGACATATTTTCTTTTAAGTGGATGCTAATTATATAATTTAATATAAATTTTGTAATGATGATGAATAAATATGTGAATTTGTATAAATTTATCTATAAATTCAACATTATAATTTTCTAATCGGTAAAATGGACAATTTAAACAAATTCAGACAGTAATCAGTTTACAAAACCAAACAGTCTTATTGATTCAAATTTCAGACTTTAACACCACCTCTTATTAATCAGAAGTGAAATAAAACTTCAGACTTCAACACCTCTTAAAAAATAAACGTCACCTAAATATCTAATTATTTTAAAATAATATAACCGTTGGATATCTTTTTATCGAAGGAAATACTAAAAAAAAAGTGAATTAGTTTTAAATGTTTAAATTTTTTTCCCTATACAATAAAAGGAAATACTTGTGATACACAACAGAGGTGTAAGAGGTGGTGAGTTTAATGATAAACTCATCTCAAGTAGATAGGTAGTTGATAGGTTAGTTGGTGGTAGTAGCATGATTGGTAAGTAAAACAAATTGTATTAAATAACAACTTATTTTCATTTAATTCGTATTTTAATCACAATTAAGCAACTATAGTTGAATATATAGAGATTACGTTTTAAATGCAACTCATTATATTTGTACAATCAATACAACCCAATCAAAATTGAGATATTTATGAAAATGATGAGAGTTTATTTATTATTGAATATTTATGAAAGATGACTAAGGTTCATTAATTATGATCAATACTTTATATTAAGAAACAATCTAAACTTTATGAAATCATATATTCATCAAATTAAATGGACGGTTGAGATTGAGTTGTATTGGTTGTACAAATGTAAAAGGTTGCATAATAACTTACCTCTCTCTCTCTCTCTCTATATATATATATACACACACACACACACACACTTGAGATCATGTGTGACAAGACTGTTTTCGTGAGACCACTTTTTTTATACTTAAAATTTCACAGCAAAATACTGTGAATGTAACGTTTACAATGTTTTTACTGTGAATGTTCATATTTTTTTACCTTCATGACATTCTACTGTGAAGTTTTCAAGTGTAAAAATTGGTCTCACAGGTCTTACGAAAACATGTTGGTCTCATGTGAATCCAATCCTTCAAATATAAACTATATGCAAATTATAAACTTACAATCAAGGATGTTTAGGTCTTTTTCTCAAATTCGTATTTTTGGGAAGAATTTAGATTTTTTTAAAATTATTAATTTTTTAAACATCTTATTCGATTACTATATACCGACTATGTATTCTTAGGAATAACTCAAATTTTTCTTAAAAATTATTAATTCGCTAATACATGAGTCATTCATAACCGTAATACAAGAATAGTTCATACCATAATACTTTATAACCATTTAATAAAAAATCATAACATTTTTCAAACTCATTCTTATAATTTTATAACCTTTCATAAAAATTTCATAACTGTAATACAAGAACAGTAATGTCTATTCATAAAATTTTATAACCATTTAAATAAGAATGTATAAGTATAATACAAGAACGGTTCATACTAATTCATAACAATTCATAACATAACCAATCATTAAAAATGGAGATGGGTGGAGTTCGAGATATGTGGTCGATCAGTGCCATAGTTTTGCGTCGTTTCTAAAGGGGTCGTCAGCGTTTTGTGTCGTCTCTAAAAGGGTCGCCGGAGTTTGCATGACACGAGATATATGAAATCATGCGGCTTCTCAGTGATGGTGATATCATTTGGTCATCTTCCTTTGTATCTTTAAGGACATATTGCTCGGGTGGCACAGCTCTTGGAAGAGTCTTGATGATCCTTCTCCATGTCAGTACACAACATAGATGGATACGAATGGATTCCCACGGATATTCCAGAGGCAAGGCAAGGATTTGCACTGAGGTTAGTAACATGTACATCTATTCTTACATTTTTCACCATAATTTTACTTTTCATCATAATTCAACTCTATACACACACACACACACACACATATGGGGGGTTGGTTCTAGTGAAAAAAAGAGTTAATGTGAGAAGCGTAAGAAGGGATTCTCTATCCTTGGATGCACGTTAAGATGAGATGTATCGGATCAAATCCCCGTATCAAACGCATGATTCATGGGTAGGTTTGAAATTAAAGTTGATCAATGGTCCATATCTTTTTTTATGTTCTCATCTTAACTCTACTTCTCATATGATCGTTCACCTATATATATATGTATATATATATATATATGTATGTATATATATATATGTGTATATATATATGTATATATATATATATATGTTTATGTATATATATATATATATATATGTATGTATATGTATATGTATATATATATATATATATATGGATTTCCAGTTAAAAAATACAATTGAAAATTTTAAAAATGTTTGTTTTAAGGAACATACTTTAAAAATACGTCAAACTTATCCTACGTCACATTAGCCTTGGGTGCTAAAATTGACAGATTTTTAACTAAAGATCACTTAAGTATGGTTTTTGAAAGTACGTTTTATAAAAAAAAAATTGAATGAAAAAACGATTTATCTCCATCAATTTATCAGTATCTTAATAGATACAGATCTTTTTTGTTTTTTGGATAATAACAGGTGTTTAGACTAATTTATATGCACCTTAAACTAATCCATGACCTTATCAATTAAGTTATGTCTTATTAAAGTTTTAATTTCAGTATTATTTATTAGTTATTTGATGCATGAAGACGATGTGGATAAGGAAACCAATTCTTGACAAACCTTATAATAAATGAAATGGTAACAAGCCATGTGGGCATGAGTGTGTATAGGGTGGTGGTTATACCTAATAATCAATCACTCCCCAAATCAATTTTATTATTTTTATTATTTTTTATATTAGGTAATAAAAAATCTGGTCATAAAATAACAAAATGAATATATTTGGATAAAAAGTTTAGTACCAGTAATTTTAACCACCCTCACACATAATCCATCTTCAAGGAAGCATTTTTTGACTCACTCAACGACTAAGATTAACACGATGACAGGGGGGGGGGGGATCCAACCCATGATTCATCTTGTATTTGGATAAAGTCGTCTCACTTATTTGCCGGTTGATACCAAGAAGGCTACAAAAAAAAAAAAAAAAGATACAAAAATGTCTATTTATTCATTTGTTTTGCCTTTTGAAGTTAATATCTATGCTAATAAAAGGGAATATAAAGTGGATTGATTGAAGTAACGTTTTCTTGTGTTATTACGAGTTCTATTAATGTCTCGTTAAAAAAGAAAACGCTACGTGAACACGTTATTTTTTCTCTTTTTTTGGGTACTTTAATCGGTAGGGAAGAAATGAGAGTGAATGTAAGATTTTGATTTTCTTTTTCTTTTTTGAAGTATATAATATTTATATAACAAATAAACTCACATTTACTTTTTTATATTCGGTAAAGTTTGAACATCTGACCTCCTAGGAGGCTAAACATACAATACTGCTAGGTCAACGGCCTTTTGGTAGATTTTGATTTTCTATAATTTCTTATTTAACATTTGTTGTTGTATGTCATTCGGACCACATAATTTTTGTTTTTGAAGGCAATTTAACCGTATTACTTTTTATGAAAGTCATTTTTTATGAATTAATTATAACGTTTTAATGCCTAAGCAACATGTTGTTTCAATAGCTTCTGATCCAACTTAGAATTATGGTATAAGTTACTGGCAGGCTGGTGGCCTACACTTTGAGTTTATAAGAAGGTCTCAAATATAGTTTTCTATCCATATAGGATGAGTTGTTATATTAAAGAACCGTTTACCAAACACTTACCGGCAAACACTTATCGGCAAGAGACATCACCTTCCTTTACCTTATCTTCTAACATTCTCTGTCATCAAAATGGATTGTTGGTAAGCGTCTTAAATCCGGTAAGTGCTTATCGGTTAAGAGTCATCACCCTCACTTACCGGGAAAGACTCTCGATCCTCATATTCCCTCTTACCAAGCAAGATTTTTGGTTTTTGTTATGTTCACCGAGTAAGGTAATTAAACAAGTAAGTAGTTATTAAGGTAAATGTTTAGTAAATCACCCTTAACATTCTAGAGTATTTCTAACATTGTTTAGAAGCAAACTCTTTTACACAAGATGTGGAGTGTTAAACACCATATGTATGTCATTTGGAGCGTTAAACACCAGATGTATGTTCATCGTCATTAATAAACAAAAGAAAAACTAACGTTTTGTTGAATCAGCATGTCATATATCACATCTTATCTAGAAAAAAATTTGCTTTTATGATGTTGGTGTTTATGTGGATTATATTTTACTAAGGGGCCGTTTATCTAAATGCTTATCCAGTAAGCACTTACCGTTTAGAAGTCAACATTATAATTTATTTTACCGGGTATGATTGTAGTACATTAAAATGATATCATATGCAACAATTTACCCGAATTACGCAAACACACTTGATTTTGACTTTCTTCGGTTCCCATCGTATGACCTAGTCAAAGTCAACACCCTCAATTCCAATCGCTTGTTGGTTTCTCGATTCTCTCTACAATCGATCATCAAACCCTTGAGATCATAGTTAGATGCACACATTGAGATTTATCATGATAAATTTTTTCTTTATTTTCTAGTGATGAAACGATTATTTTGGATCAGTGTGTGTTCGGTGCTTTGAAGATTCAGAAAGGAGACATTACTCGGTGGTTCGTCAA